CTGCCTATGACCCCAAGAACACCATCCCCACCATCAAACATGGAAGTGGAAACATGCTTTGGAGGTGTTTTTCTGCTAATGGGACAGAACAACTTCACTGCATCAAAGGGATGATGGACGGGGCCATGTACCATCAAATCGTGGGTGAGAGCCTCCTTCCCTCAGTCAGGGCATTGAAAATGGGTTATGGATGAGTATTCCAACATGACAATGACCCAAAACACACGCCAAGGCAACAAAGGAGTGGCTCAAGAAGAAGCACATTAAGGTCCTGGAGTGGCCTAGCCAGTCTCCCGACCTTAATCCCATGGAAAATCTGGGGAGGGAGCTGAAGGTTCGAGCTGCCAAACGTCAGCCTCGAAACCTTAATGACTTGGAGAGGATCTGCAAAGAAGAGTGAGACAAAATCCCTCTTGAGATGTGTGCAAACTCTCTTGAGATGTGTGCCAACTACAAGAAACATCTGACCTCCGTGAGAGCCAACAAAGGTTTTGCCACCAAGTACTAAGTCATGTTTTACGAAGGGGTCAAAAAATCCAGAAAAACACATTTCAAAATCATCCTTGGACAGCTCTTTGCTCTTGGCCATAGTGGAGAGTTTGGAATCTGATTGATTGATTGCTTCTGTGGACAGGTGTCTTTTATACAGGTAGCAAGCTGAGATTAGGAGCACTCCCTTTAAGAGGGTGCTCCTAATCTCAGCTCGTTACCTGTGTAAAAGACACCTGGGAGCCAGAAATCTTGCTGGTTGATAGGGGATCAAATATTATTTCACTCATTAAAATGCAAATCAATTGATAACTTTTTTGAAATGCGTTTTTCTGCATTTTTGTTGTTGTTATTCTGTCTCTCACTGTTACAATAAACCTATCATTAAAATTATAGACTGATCATTTCTTTGTCAGTGGGCAAACGTACAAAATCAGCAGGGGATCAAATACTCTTTCCCCTCACTGTAGGTACTTCTCTGGTGGGCGTTTTACTATATTTCAAACAGGTTTTCTAGAACTGGAGTATTGGTAACACCAGGAATGGGGAAGAATTGTTGATCATCTTTAGTGTAAAGTTAAAATATACAGCTATGGCAGACCTGAAAAAAAATCTATGACGGGGTTATTTCATTGAATAGCTCAGCTTGTTTGGACAATCTGTTGAATGTGAACAGTTTGGGTAGAACTAATTCATTTTGTTAAAACTTATCTTTAATAAGTT